GCATCGCGTCCAGACTCCCCCGATCTGCCGACAAACAGCTGATCGGCAGATCGGGGCAGCCATTTAAATTTAAATGAAGCCGCGATTATTTTAATCGCGGCTTCATTTCCCTCTTCTGATGTGGCTAATCTACATGCCTCCGTCGAAGGAGGCATGGAGTCTGGACACAGCCCTTGTTATCAGATGTCTGGGCTAATCCACATGTAGGTGCATCAGTGGGAATCACACATCACAGCGCAGGGGGACACCGGGTTACAGAGCAGACAGCCCCCCCACTACGTCACACCTGGCCGAAGCACAAGTGGAATGTCTTTCCATCTCTGTGCACCCCTCCCCGGGCATCGGACCCCCATTGAGATGACCGTGATGGTCTCTTCGGACCGTAAAGTCCATGAATTGCCCCCAGGGAGGCCTCTCCCCATGTGTGGCTGCAGCAGTGAGAGGAGCTGGGATGCCCTGGCCCACGGGCCCTAGATCTGACCAGCCGGGACCAGGGGGTTCTAGGTGGAAACCTCCCACCAGTGTTCCCGGCAAGCAGAGCGCTTGGGCAGCCATCTGGGAGAGATGGAAATGCTGCCCAGCTGCTTGGCAGACTGCCTGCCCTCTCGGTTTCTCTGCACCTGCCTCAGTGCAAACAACGTTTATTCCGCACATGGATGGGAAAAAAATTAGAGGGTACATTGGCTCCCAGCCCTGGGATGTGCAGTCCCCTCTGAGCTGATAGCCAAGTCCAGTGGCCCAGCCACCTTCTCCGGCCCCTGCCTGTGTCGATTCATTGTCAGCCGGGCCCTCGAGCCTCAACTGGGCACAATGTTCATGCTGACCGAGTCGCTGTCTGTGGGGGTCTCGGTGCTGTACGGGCCTCCTGGTGCCTTGCTGCAAACCAGCCTCCGACACGTAGAATGGGCCCGGGTCCCCGCCCCTCTGGGGCACTGAGCACCTGTCCAAGTGCAAAGTCATTGTGCTCACAGGGTGCTGCAGCAGACACCCTGGGGTTCCTTGTCCCATGGAGGCCCCCCGAGCCGATCCACAGCTGTCTTCCCCACGGGGCAGTGCCAGCGGAGCCCAAAGGAGCCGCCCGAGAGTGGGATTCCAATCGAGGCCAGATTCGAAATTGGCACAACTGCCACTGCCGGGCGGAGTGGCCTTGGTCAAGTCCCTTAGCCCCTGTGCATCCCTGTCAGTAATTCCTCTGCCAGTGCAGGGTGTGGGGGTATGTCTACACTACCCCGCTAGTTCGAACTAGCGGGGTAGTGTAGACATACCCCCAGTGGGATTCTGGCCACCGGGCTACCGTCGCCACCCTCTCAAAGGTGGCGAGGTATGCCTCAGGATCGTCAGCCGGCCCCATCTTAGTTAGCCGTATGGGCAGGCGTACCACCTCCCCCTCTCCTGCTGGCCCCTCCTCTTCGGGGCACGCTGGACTCAGGGGGGTCACCATTGCCGGTGGATATCGTCTCATCCACTCTTCCTGTTGCGCCTTCATTTGCTCGGCTACCTCCCGGATCAGTTGTTTTTGCTGCTCTTGTTGCTGGGTGGTGAGCTGCTGGATTAAGGCTGACTGCTGCTGTTGGTTAAATTCAAATCCCGGGCTTCATTAGCAAGTGCGGTATGCATACATTACCCCGCTAGTTCGAACTAGCGGGGTAGTGTA